ATATCGATTCATTCTTTTCAAGGTATCGCCCGGTGAAATCAGCTTGGATACTTTGTCTGTTGAATTTAATAGGATTCGAATATATTTCGGTTTTCCGACCCTTGCACAACAAAAACCCAAAACCAAACACGTTAATAAAATTGAGCTATTCTAATCTTCTGCTTATTCATAATCTTTCAGAAAATTCAATATAACACAATAATCACTAATATAATCGGTCAAATCGTTATCCCTAGCGAAATCCAGCGCCTGACCAAAATTACGCAAATGCAAGCTGTTCGCCATCTCTGAGGACAAACTGCTGGATTTTTTATAAATTGCATAAGTTGCATGTAGATCGCATGGTTTTTTAGTTTTTCCAAATATTTTATCACTTTTGTTTTGTGAGTGCGCAATTCTACATTGACTTTTTAAAGTTAAATCCTTGATTTTAAGATTATTTGAAGATCACTTGGTTTAGCAACAATTGTTGTCGAATTGTAGTCGAATAAAGTAGATAAGTGTAGTAGAAGACCATTCTGTAGAATTCAACATACCGGACAATATAGAAGATAAGATGACCTTTTATTATGGGACAGAAAAAGTTAATGAACATTTCTTTGGTTTCATATAAGATTATTCGCTCTGTAGCCGAATCCGAATAATCTAATTACACTGGTGATATGATAATATATTTAACGAAAGGCTCTACTGAAACAATATTGTTTAATTTGTGTATTTTAATGTAATTTAATTAATTGTTTGCATCCACTAATGAAGATCGAACTAGTCAATCAAAAGGTTTAGAAACAAATACATAAATAAAGTTTAGTACAATTGAAAAGTATTTATCTGTAATTATAAGAAATTTATCTAACTTCGTATTATTATCGATAGACTGATTGTGCCCTTTCCATCATTTCTTGTGATTTTCGCTTGATTCTGCTTACTTTCCGTCAGCACTGGCTTATCGTGGCTTATTTAATGGGAAAAGATCGTGAAAAGCTCGGATAAATCTCATTTTGTTCAAAAAATGTTTGCTCTATCCGATGATACTGCTTTCAAAAAGTTTCCTTTTCAACTCTGGGACTTTATTTTTTTATTAGTTTTCTAAAATTCTGCTTTTTGAGAAACTCTATTTCTGTAGATTCTGATACAATTTTCTTACTCATTTCAGTCGATAGGCAGCATCTTCAGCTACTCAAAAAATTTTTAATCAAAAAGTGCATCTCGACTCATTTGCGTTCTCTGAAAACTTTGAGACAGACATTCTCTTTTGAAGTCTTCTTCGTAAGTAAATAATATGTTTATGATCAAGTGAGTCCAAATATCACCCTGTTAAATTATTAAAAATTCTCGATAATTATCCATTCCATCTCCGGGCCCGTTTTCATGTAGTGAGCAATCCATAACTAACTAATATTTTTTAAGATGGACTGAAAGGATATTATTGACATAATAAAATTGTGTCTTTACAGATACCAGTACAAGTTAATCCCAAACTTGCATTCAGAATAAGAAAATTTTAATTTAAAATGTAAAAGAAATGAGAACAATACGATTAATAAACTATATATTTTTTCTGAAAAGAGTATAAATATATTGAAGTACCAATGATATTCAGGTAGTGATTCAGTAGAAGACACATTCGCTCACATTGTACTTTAGTCTATTTTCTCACTGGTTAGTTCCTTCAAAAGCTTCAGTTTCATTCAATTTGCCTTCAGTCCAGATCAGGCATGCAATCATCCCAAGCTAGGGTTCGCTGATCGGCAGCGAACATGTTCGGTTGCGAGCGATTCCTAGTTTAGGATTGTTGCATGCCTAGTTGCAGTTACCCGAAATGACATCTCAAAACAGTAATTGCGTTTTCTCATTCCTGATTTTTCTTTTCCAAGTTACAGTGTTTTCAAAATCAAAATTCCAGATTTTAGCAAAGACTATTCCAATTTTATTTTACTTATTAGTATACCAATCATTTATAATTGATGTAACACTAAAAATCACACACTCAAATTCGCGACGTAAGCAAAAACTTTAAAGTGAAGATAAATGAATGAAGTGTTATTGATTTTGAATTGATAAAATGCTCTTTTAAGTAAAAAGAAGTGGTATTCTTCCTTATTATATTTGATAATGAATCGCACTTGTTCAATTTTGATAACGTACCATCACATGTTTTACATATCACATTAGAAAGACAATGATATTGTTAATTCTTTACATCAGTTGACTTTGTTGCTTCTTTGCAAAGCTCTTCTGCTAACTGACAAGCTCTATTTGCATCAGCTAAAAAGTGGGACAGACGTTATTGTATCACAAATCTCAAGAACATGTACAACAAAGATAGCCCTATAGGGATCTCACTGTTTAAAAGACGTGATCAACTCGTTATAGGATTTCTGAGAAATCATAGGAAAGAAGCGAAACTCTTTCAAAGTCTTTCCGTCAAAAAATCTGTACGCTTTTCCACCAGATGACTTTGAGGTTTTCGTAAAAAATTGTGCGGGCTACTTTTTGAAGGTATTGTAGAATTCAAAAACATTATCTATATGGACGGGTCCTTTTTAAAAACGAATTTTGTCTAGAATAAAGTGTTTCTAAGCAGAATCTTCTAGTGGCAAAAAGATCATGAAATATTTCACAGCTTTCGTGATTTCTGCGATTTAGTGATCAGGCATAATAAAGAGGATTTTGTGTAATTATCAAATATAATTCTTGAAGTAGAACTGAAAATTTTTCTCAGATTTGACTGTTTTTCCTTGAGGAGCACTCTTGCGGTAGATTAAATTCTTCATGTATGAGATGAAGATATAAGATATCTGAGAATTTCTTATCAATGACGGAGCATACCGAACATTTTCTATAAGCATTATGACATGAGACTCAACCCAGTTCAAGATCTTATTCTGAGCGATGACTTTTTTTAGTGATATTCATATACTTTGCTGAAGGCCTTCTTATCTTTTAGTCTAAATACCTGAAGAATATTTCTTGTAAAAATGTTGATGCCATTCGTTTTCATAATCAGATACAATTTGCAGTAACGAGGTACACAGTTCTCTTACACGATCATTTTTACAGTAAGCAACTAACTGTGAAAGTATAGAAGCTTTTTTTACAGTATTGCAATCGTCGGCTATCATAATACTATGAACAACATCACTTGCTACCTGGAAATAAATGAAACAAATTAGTATATAAAAGATGTCGAAAAGAAACAAGTGACGTTCATCTAGGATTCGCTCGACCTTTAACTGAAAGATAGGATTACAAAACAAAGTCCAACTACCGAAATGATTATCACAATATAGAAGGGCAGGACGTAAGAAAGAGCATACAGGCCAAAACGAAAACGTGCTAAAAACAAATATGTACGGGCACTCCATGATTGTCTCCTTCAATCAATCGTCGAAGAATACAGTAATCCACATAAAAATCATGAATGTAGCAGCGGACGGCGCAAGCAAGCTACTCGACGAAAGAACGCTGTCTCCCAAAAGTAAAATCGATTAGACAACCCTCTTCAAACAATCTATATCTTTTCTTCTCTTTCTCGACACAAAAGAGTCACAAAGCTCTCTAACATGAACTTCACAGGATGACCAGACTTAACAAAAACAAGAAGAATACGCAAAACTACTTCACAAAATGAAATATCCACCAAGCCACGGTACAACAACATCGTAAAGCTCTCGTAAACAGGACTATTGAAACGTTTCTGTTTAACCAGTAATCCATTCTTATCGGTCTTAAACCAGAAAAAGTTGTACATGGTAAAATTTCATTAACAAAAACCCCAAACTAAACCAACATATATTGTCACTCAAGAAATTACTTCATCACGTGTGAAAGTAGGTATCATTAGTGTACTGCGGACGGAAGGACATGAAACCATGAACTATTTCCACCTCTTATCAGCCAATAAAAACATATTTCATTAATATATTAGTTTCTAAGCATGTTAAAAAATTTTACCAAACAAAGCCAATATGCCCTTTGATTCATACCGATTATTCGTATATTTAATACACAGAAAGTATTTGATGCAAGTCTGCAGTCCCTGAAACCCTTTTTTTGGATGTTAGTCAATGGGTGCCACTGGAAAGTATTCTTATATTAAGTGACTCGGGTTGAGTGTTGCTGGTTTTTTTATAGATAACTCGACGCGCTCTATCGAATGGCGTCATTGAAATTTGATTTCTAGGTGACAGTGGGTGTTAGCTTCTTTTTCTAACATACGATTCTTATTAGTCACTTGACACTGTTGAACAAACATTTTTGATAAGTCTTAGGCATCAAAGTATCGGCACAGCTCGAACTGAAATCCAAGCCCATATCTAAGAGGTTGGATATGATGCATCTCTACTCAAGTCTTCAAGTAAATCATCTTCCTAAAATGCGTCCTTAAAGAGTCGGAAACTGGTGTCTTTTGGGGAATTGGCTAGTGCAGTGTTTCTGTAATAGATTTATTATGGAAATCATACTAATGTTTTCTAATCACAACTGGATTTTACTTTCATATTTCAAGAACGATGGTAGCTTATTACTCAAATTTTCAGCACCAGTCATTCTACAGCTTCCAGGTCGGATTTTACACTATGAAAAAAAACAATACCTATCATGCACTGGATTCTTTTTGCAATGTAGTCAGATAAATGAGCAATTAGCATTTTAACAGGTTTCAGTCTATTTGTGTAGATGCTCAAAAGCTTGACACACCAAAACAACTTAAAATCTCTACTAGCGAAAAGTAAGGGAGATCGGGAAATAATGATGCGATACAGATAAGTGTAGCAATAGCAGCAATATTTCATAACTTAAATATGCTGTAGTACATGTTGGATTATCGACATTTCAGATATATGGGCTAGTACAAAAGTTTCGATTTTTGTCCAGATATAATAATTCCTAAATTTTTGCATAGTACTGTAACTCTACTCAAAAAGGGCATGAAATACACATCACGGAAATCTGATAATAGTTAAACATTAAAAATACTCATGATGCTAAGGAGATTATTAATGACTCACGTAGTAGGATGTAATACAGCACCACAAATAAATACCACTTTTTTGACATTCACGTGATGCTTTCAAATGATAATATGCTTGCAATAACCATTTTCGTGCAACAGATGGTTGGGGATCTTTTTGTTGACATTCATCACGTTTTCGCCTCTGTTTCTTGCGCGAATTCATACCAGAAGAGTTTGTTGAAGTAAAATACCAAGAGAAATTCGTTCTTCTACCGGCGTACGTGAATCCTGCGTCAGAAGGATTTGTAAAACGATCACTGTGAGCTTCTGCATAAGCTGAATCACTAGATACTGTGTTTCCATTGATTAAACGACTAATACATTGTTTCAAATATTTAAACGCTTCTGTGTATAAAGATATTTGTTCTAAATTTTTATCTGGATGATAACGTAACATCAAGCGTTTAATTGCTATTGCCTGTTCACCTTCGGGCAAATCTTTGATAAGTTGTACATCTTTGTCAATTTGTTCTTTTAATGTTTCTAAACATTTAAATTTATGTGCTTTATCTTCTGCTGTTACCGGCATATTTGTAATCATCATTTCTTTATTATTCACATCATCATTATTCTTTGTTTGTATTTCATGTAATGACGACGAGCTAAATCGATACAAATAAAGACCGGTTATAATTTCATACTTTTCAGATTCAATTTCAACTTGATATTTTTTTCGAAAGTCATTAACATGGTCTTCAACCAACTTAATAATTCGTGCATGGTAATATTCTGGTAGATAATCTGTTGTAATATTCAAATCTTTTAAATCACTTTCAGCATCACCACTACGAATTTCTCGTGCAATGTATTCACCTGGCGCACACGAATAAATTCCTTGTACAAGATATTGATAATCGTCTGATGAAACTAAAGTACCCAGTTTTGGCACGTATGGTGGATCATCAAAATCATATTGTTTACATTCACACAGATTATGCCTATCCAATATCGCTTCATACTCGTGCGCATCACTGAGTAATGTATCACAAATAACCTCGAACAGCTCTAATCGTTTATAATACAGATCATCGCCGAAGATAGTATAACATTGTTTTTGAATCGTTTTGCTTAATTCTTTAGAAAAATGTTCATCTCTCCTTGTTGATCTATTCTCAGAAATATATAACAAATAACTCATACCTTCATTATTAGATATGTCTTTTAAGTGGGATGGACATTCACTCTCACTATCAGCAATCATTTGACCTGTTTTTTTATTAAATACCACTTCTTTAATCGGCTGTGTTGTGATATATACTTCTAATCCATTAAGAAATTGAATTAATCTTTTAATATTTTCTTCTGTTGCTTGCGCGCTAAAAAAGTGTTGTACAATACGATTAATGGCATAATAAAATTCAGTCGCATGGATTGTATCAGTCAATGATGATATATTGATTGTATTATCTTTTATGCCATCATCGCTAATTTGTTGATCTAATATGTCCGAGATGGGTTTCAAGTCCGAAAAGTGGGTTCTAATTTGTGGTCCTTTACAAATATCCTCCAGTTTTACCTTCAGTAGGAAACTAACAGGAATTGACACATTATTGTGCTCATCTAAGTAGTTTTCAAATAACGTATGACAAAAACACAATTGTTTTAATTCTTTACTTTTGGTAATTAAATCTTTATATCTTGTTTGATCGATATAGTACAATTCTTGAGTGGATATAAGAGTAGAACAAAGATTTGGCAAGTAAATAATTTGTTCTTTTATTTCAGTTTTTGGCGCATCGATATAATATGAAATTGCTGTTACAACGGAAACACGATCATTTGGATCCAAAAGTTTTGGACTTTTTTCGTAAAATTGTTTTAATATTTGAGCACACTGACTACGTGACGGTTGATTTGGAACAGGAAATGATCGTAGAAATGGCAAGATGCCACTTTTGTAATCGTTATTGTCTGGATCAATAGCGAATAAATATGGCCATATAGTTTTGTACCATGTTAAACTTGGTATAAAGATATCTTCAGGTGCCACTAAGATGGCACTAAACATATCATGTACATTCGTTCTCTTCACAGGTATGAATTTTAAATTTTGCAATTCTGCTTTATTTTTCTCATCAATCTCAATAAGTGCGCGACACCATTCTTGACATAGACTTAATAAATTCAAATAATTCTCTTCAGTGATTCCACTAATATTTGAAAAATGTTGGGAAACTTTTTTTATACATTGTATTATTGTTTCTAATTGTGGTTGGTCACATATTTCGAATCGTTTCAAAATCTTCGAATCTAATGATATTAATTCTCTAGGCAAAATATCCATTTCTGTCCAGCATAAATCTGCTTTTGTCTGTGTGCAAGCCTTCTGCGTAGCTATTAAATGTGGAGGTATTGGTATGATATGCATTAATTTCTCACTAACACTATTAGGAATGAATTTAATCAAACTTGCTTGTTTGAAAAACTGATCTGAAAATTCTTCGGTTTTTCTCATAATTTCAAACGCTGCGCGTATACCATGCTCATCATTCATGTTTCTCTTGTTCAATTCATGCATAGTGAACAATGCATTTTTTTCGTTTATTTTATTTTGTAATCCAATAAACAACAAAAACGATATCCATTCTTTATCACTAAACTCTGTTGGAAGAAAACGTTCTCTAGGAAGAGCTAGCCGAAATGCGTTTATATCATGATCGTAGAAGTATGATGCAGTATGGACTTTTCCGTCAATGTTCGTTATAAATTCGAAAGCCTGAAGTTTGGTTTTGAGTGAATTGTATGCGCCATATGAATTGGACGTAGTTCGTAAATAATTCATATGCGTAACGCGATCGTCCACCGGAGCTTTAGTTAAACAGTCCAGTACGATATTGTAAAATTCACAAGCCATTAGTTGTTCTATTTTGCAATTCTTATCAAGTAAACCGCTGCTATATTCATCGGATTGCGTTAGAAATTGTATATCGAGATGTTCGCTAATCTTATTAAGATAGCTGAGTGGTATGCCATGGAGTACACGTATTCGCCTCTTTCTTTCAAGTTTTTCATAGCATCCATAAACATTCCTAAATATTGGCAGTTGTTCGATTTTTAATGCATAAGATTCATTGCTTTGATTGATATTTAAATTGGTAAAAACCGTTTCGCAATAACTAAAAATACTTTTATGCGCGTCATCATCGAGTTTTCCGTAGAAATCAGGTGTACGAACTGATAATGTTACTAAAACATCGAGCACTTGTGATGGTTCATGAATACTCTGTACCAAGGCTTTCAAAATATTGATTGTAGGCTGATTATCCTGTTTATCGCCAAAAAACGTCAGATCCAACACTTGAACATTTGCTTTTGATAAATAATAAAGTTCCGATTTATAACTGAGATCTTGATACAGCATCAAGTCTACGAATGTAAATGGTGAAAATCGAAGTTCTTTTTTCTTATCATCGTTTGAGTGATTAGAAAATAATCGCAAATTATGCGATTCAACGGGTATTAAACACCAATGTTTAATCGGATCAAGCTCTTGTAATAGAATACGTTTCACTTCGTTTCTATTTGTAACAGTCGAAATGGCTTTATCTGACAAAAATGATTTTAAATTATTCAGTAATATATGCCATATATTCAACATATCTCGTTTAACGTCTTCATTTATCTTGCATTGAACAAACTGTTCACAATTGTTGCGGTAAAACTTATCTTTATTCAGGACCTTTGGTAAGATGTCAACAAGATCACTGATTCTCAAGTCTTTTAACCAACGTTTTCGAAGTTCTTTAGTGCCAAAAAGATCTAACAAGCTTGGATGCATAAATTGGTAAAGGCAACGTTGAAAGGTCTTCACATTATGAAAGCCATATAGAGGTTTTTTTTCATCGAAACTGCATACTTTCTCATCAGCTCTTAATAACAAGGGACAATCACCTAACTTTCCTGTTTGTACCTTCTCATCGCATAGTATAAATGATAAAAAGAAATATAAGGAATTAAAGGTGAAAACTGTACGATCAATTGGTAATATTTCTCTCTGATGCAAGCCGCGATATACACGCAATTCATCGCATAGTTTGATAGCATTGAGATCATACATGGTATTTTTGTCATTTTTCAATAAATCCAACAGTTCCGGGCGATCACAAATTTTCAAACCAATCAATAACAACGAATTAAGACACTCAGTAATAGGGTAATTCGTCCATTTTTCTGATTTCGCAATGAATGACTCAAACTCTCTTATAAAACATAGTTTAGAATCAGATGCACAAGTCCACACGAAAATACGTGGAGATTCAAAAGTAAGCGTTGGGATAATAAATAGATCTTGAGAGAAGAATGTTTCATATGCATTTTTGATTAATAGCTGCATAAGATTCTTTTTATTTGTGCCATTCACGAACAATGTCAAATATCGTTCAATCGACAATGAGTGTTTTTGAACTTGTTCAGCTGCACGACAAACAATTTGCACATAACATTGGCTTAATAAATGCTCTGCTAGAGCTTCATTCCACAACCGTCTGACATCTTTTTCATTATCGGTTTTCCATAAATTGTATCGACTTTCATTGCTTAGATAAAAGCACCCATGTACATGCATTGGAATATGAGAGGGAATCGGTAACGGTAAAAAACAATATAGGAAATATTCTTTCAATGATTGCTGAATTTGTTCATCATTTGAATTAGCTGAGTCCAATGTTTGCGGAATTGATGCTTCATTTAACAGATACGCACATGCACCAACTGGAAGACATTTTAAAGTATTAAATTGTACGAGAACATCTTTATATGTAGATTTCTGAATACTTGGTGTGAAACCAAAACCGTCAGCAATTAAATAGGATTTTGTACCAGATCTTGTCGATGAAATATCAACACAATATGTATGCACTGAATGGAGAGTGCCTTCAAGCAACGATGACGAGCTTTGAATATTGGCCATTGTCTTACGCACTTTACTCATACTAGATTCATCATCAGAACTTTGTGGTCGAACAATGACTTCATCTATGCTACATATTTGACCCGTTTCATCGATTGTGGATATTTTAACTGAACGAACACTCTTTAAAAATAACATACAATCTGGAAGTTCATTAGCCAAACAACTGAGGAGTTTGATCATGCTTGAATGTCCGTAGACCTTGTCAGATATTTCAGATTTACTAACTCGTAATGGTATACGAAACATAGTTCCATTTTTCAAATCAAAACTGGATGGTAAAAATGTTTGTAGTACATCAGAAAACTTTTCGAGAAGTTTTGCATCACATTGACGACCTGGATTACTTTTTGTAACTGATGGCATGTATTTAAGTAATGGATCAAATATGACAAATTTATCTGACGAAATAAATGTGGGAACATCTGTTAGATGATAAACTGTATTGAACCCAACACCATATCGGCCAATTTTGTTTATATTACTACTTTTACTGCCTTCACCAAGATCAGTTATGCCTGAAAATCGAAACCTGTTATATAATATGTACACTGTGTAGTTCAGAGGAAATGTTTACTGTTTATTTTTGTTTTTAGCACTATGCTCCCAACTGTATACAGCATGAAATTCTCAACAATAATTCGTTAAAAGTTTGGCAAAAAATATCAAGCGATAAAAAGAGAAGTTCTTGTTGTTTCTCGTTTTCAAGCACATGACACTGCGTTACAATGAATTAAAAATTAATTTCCTCAGAGAAGATGATAATTTTTCGAGTTTGTGAAATTGACAAAATATAGAGAATGAAAGTGACTGATACAGCAGCTAGTTTTAGACGCATTGTAACTTATTAATAAATTGTTAGACAAACTTTTACGTATTAGCTATGTGGCGCTAATACGTAAAAGAAAATTTTCAGATTTTTCAAGGTTTTTCAATTTTGAACTGATGTTATTCATGGATAAAAATCCCTGTCTGTAAGTCTTTTAACCTTTTTCTATGTTAAACATGTTTTCTCTGACGAAAAAGAACCAATCCGAGGCCTGGATTATGCTATTAATCCCAGATCTCGGAACCTAAATATTTTGAACGTCTGTGAATATTATGGGCGGATGGAGCTCGTCGACATTACGTAGTGCATCCAAAACGAACTAAAAAGATTCTTAAAAACGAATAACAAATCAAAAATACTTAACTTCTACGGTTTTCTCCATGGTAGAAATACTCAGCGGAATGTGTCGCGGATTATTACGCCGCATGGTGTTTGTTCTATTTTAAAGTTATAACTTTAAAATTGAACAAATACCATTTTTCTACTCAATTTTTAATTTGGAATAAGAAATAAATACTTTGGCAAATTCTGAGTTACAAAGGCAACGAAAATTTGAATTCTTTTGAACTTGAAGGATTTTTACGTTCTTCAAGCTTTTAAATTTTTTTACCGTGAAAAAGATTTTTTCAAAAAAAAAAAAGAAAAATGAACATCAAAGTAACACAGAAAAGACTTCGTAGATGAATTCTTATGGTGTTAAATACCGTGAAATTCTAAGTGGAGGTTCAAAAGATTCAAAAACCTTGCGCGTTCGAGGAGATATTTGTGCCGTACAGCATATTCGAACATGCTGGCACCGAAGATATAAAAAGCTTGACGAGCATTTGTTTTGCAAAAAACATCAAATTTTGATATGTGTTGAAAGACAAAAAATACCAATTTATGCAAACTTACACCCGTAACCTCTTCGATTCGAACGAATTTAGTAACTACTCGAAATCGAGGAACAACAACATAACAAGGGAAACTTGTGAAGATCCATGTCATTAGATGAATGTCTGTTTTAAAATGCTTTGCTTTTGCTCGAACTAAAAAAATTTTCGCAATACCAGGCCTGTCTGAACGAGAAAACGTGTAAGTGATATCTTAGTGCAGCTAGTTGAGCCAAAATAAATCAATAGTATGGATAAATGCCTATGTCCAACCATAGACTTTACATTTCCTTAAGATCTGCTTTTATGCAATATGTTAGCAAACAAAAGATCGACAGCAAGCGTCTAGGCAGATGGGATACTTTCTATCAGTTGGTTAAGTTGCTAGGACAGACAAAGTTTACCTTTGAAATCAGCTTGTGAAAACTGACTATTATTGTAACACAACAATGCTGGACCTTGAACTGGTGCATAGTTTTGTATTGTATCTATATTTGGTAGATCATATTGTGGTGTAAAAATGCTTTTTGCTGAATGATTACGTGGATCAAAAATAAAGTGAACTATCGTTGCACCAGCATCATCTGCATTTTGTAGTAGTTCTTTTAAAATGTCTTTATCTTCCGGATATGACTCCAATAAATGTCGAATTCTTGTTGTTAGTTCTTCGTGTTGACCAAATGGAATACCGATAGAACAATCTTCAATCAATTTTTGTTGAAATATTTTTACGCCCAATATTTGTGCAATATCCATTGGTATGCCTTTGTGCAATGTTGGAATATCATCTCCAAATATGTTTTGTTCGCTTTCTATTTTAAAACATAAATGTTTGGTCGACGTTAATATTCCTATACTGTCAGGTAAATAAACTTCTTCATTTATATCTAGTATTTTTTCATTTATAATTGCGGATAATTCCAGTATCATTCTAGTGGCATAATCTAAATCTATGTTTGACAATGGATCATCTCTATATTTTTCTTTCAGTGTTTTTAAGCGCTTAAAAAAATATTCGCATGTGAAATACATTTTAATACTTAACTTATTGAATAATTTGTGTTTCTGATACGCTTTTGGCAATTGAACATAGAATGGTGCACATGGATGTTTAACAACTTGAGCAATATCATCCACACTATAAAACTGTCCATCAACAAAAATATATTCTTTTGGCATTAATTTCTTAACTTTTTCTACGACATTATCATTTGTTAGTTTGGGGCCTATAAAATCATAAATACGACTGATAACGTCGTATCTAAATTGATCAACATTATTTATATCCTTTGTTGTGCTTGTATTTGTTGGCAATAAAGTTTTTTCTTTTGACCATTCATCTTTTAGTATATGCATTTGTTTTACTACTGATTCTATGCTTATTTCTCTACTTAAACAAAGCTTTTCACTTACTCTGTCACTAACCAGTCTAGTTTCATATAGAAAATGAACACTACCACAAAGATTTTCATAACAGTCGCTATAGGCCTCATCGGTAGCCGCACAGAATCGTTTCTTATTCGTTGCGTACCATTCCATTTTGTATAATAATGGCTTTTGTTTGACCGGTATAAACTTGATATCAAATAACTTTTTAATATCTTCACTTGTTTTCGTTTTTTGTAACGTTTGATCTAAACAATTTAGTAACAATTTGCTACGTTCCCAGGCTTTTTCATATTCATTTTCATTCATTTTTTCTATAGCATTTGCACGTTCTTCAACATAAGACAATGGCAAATATGTTTTCATTAATCCTAAGTGACATAACTTCTCAGCAACTGCTTGTTCACGATAAACCAAATCTGGAAGTGCCTCATGTGGCTGATCAAGATCGTATAACTTAGCAAATAGCGCACTGGAATCAATTAATGATGATGGAGCTTTGAATGCGCCTGTTGCAGAACGTATGCAATTAGTTGTTTGTATTATATTACCAATTTTTGTTGGTTTACTCCTTTGATCAAGGGATTTTTCTGTTATAAGATAAATCATAATTTGATCAAGCGCATTTTGATTACATCGTTGTACAACTTGCATTAGGTTTTGAACAGAAATTTCGTCATTCCAGACTCTGTCTTTAATGGAATTTGGATATTTGAGTATTCCATTTAGGATGGGTGTTGGCAGAAGTATAATTAACGGCTGAAAGCTTAAAATTAAAGAGAACAGTCTATAAATGTTGAAATAGTAACAGTTGCCTATAATAGTGACCAGATTTTCTTCATCTCTGTATTTTCGAAAAACCGCACTGTCAAGCGGGTCATCAGTGAGTAGAATCTTCCCAGTAGATAAAACGAATCTATTTAGATAGATCACCACTCACTAGATCATCTCTGACAGTAAGGGGACACCCCCTATATCCTGACTGGGATATATATCCCGATCAGGATATAGAAAAAAATTAATATCCCGATCGGGATATAAAACACAAAATTTCGTCGTAAAAACGATTAAGGGAAAAATGACGACGGTATGGGGAAAGACTGACATCACCATTAGAAAGAGCTCTCACGAAAAACTACAGCGAAATGCTGCTGTGTTTGATCAAAAGTGTATTAAGCGCCCAGTAACTATTTTTTCGAATACAAATTTTTAACAAATTTTAGTCGACTTTATATCGGGAAATAGACGGGTAACCTGTTATTGCTCAGAATGGAATATACTCTTAATCTAATCGCTTTTCACACGACCGTCTTTTTCTGTTCTTCGTTTTCGATAAACGCAAATATTGAAACACATATCCTTTTCTTATGACAATATATAAGTATACGTGCTTTGTGTTTAATAGAGAAGTTTCCAACTATTGATTCGTGCAGATAAACTGCCTTAGATTTTTGTAAGTGAACTACAACTTCCTTAAAACTCATTTATACTCATAATGTCTGGTAGGGCAATACTCTTTTAAAACTAATTAGATTTGATGAGAAACATGTTAATGTGAAAGTTAGAAATTACACTAACCAACAAAAATATTTTTATATCCTGATCGGGACATAGATTTTTTTGATATCTCAGTCGGGATATCGAATTATATCCTGATCAGGATATAATTCTAAACTATATCCCGTTCGGGATATCAGAAAATTTTTGCTGTAAAAAAGGATATCCAGACCGGGATATGTCTCCACACTGTCTGTAACTCAGAGACACGTTGCCACTGGGGCACTGACCTACTGATGTCACAGTTTCCTCACGGGAGAACCGCCTCAGGTGCCCAACTCCTATTTCCTTCATTCATACTTCGTTTTATAGAGCACACCGAGCTGGTAAAAAGCCTAAAAGGATTTTTGCCCATGCCACTTGAAGTCTCGGTTTTCTGCAAAACCAGTTTTGGAGAAATTCTAAAAAATAACCAAAACCTTTCATAATGCGACATAATTATAGTCCGCACATTTCTGATTAAAATGAGACATCTTCCAGCTCTACATGACCTTTCTTTGCAAAGTTATAGAATTTACAAGAAAAGTCCTAAATTAATTTCTTCTTATTTTCTACAGCTTTGAGCTGACAATGAACATTCAGGGCTTTTCTTGTAAATTCTGTAACTTTGTAAAGAAAGATCGTGTAGAGCTGGGAGACGTCTCATTTTAATCAGAAATGTGCGGGCTATAATTATGTCGCATCATGAAAGGTTTTGGTTATTTTTTAGAATTTCT